TGATTCTTGAAGTGAATCTATCGTAAAAATACTATAAATCATGATAATTGACAACATAAAATATTTCAAAAATGTTGTATGTGGATAGTCTTATTATGCCTTAAATAGCGTCAAAGAAAGTACATGTTTGTGATAAAAAAACTTATTCCTTTATCCACGCAAACAATCGCTTCAAAAACTCAGTTATTAGCCCCAAAATATACCATTTATATTATTGGGCTCGTGCATAGCACGGGCAACATTATCTAGTTATTATAATAAGTGTGAATTTTAAGGGGGGGGGGGGGGAAATACAAGTTTAGATGGATGAATATTCAACTATTGTAATTCTAAGGGACGTCACTACAGTTTGCCCATTTAATTTTCCTAATTTGAAAAAGAAAAGTAATCCCACTATAATATGGAATGAGAGTATCTCTCTCTATATATAAATAAAATATAAACGATTGGAAATAATAATTCAAAGTTAGAGTAGGAATCCTAAATTGTTTAGGATTTGTTAGAGTGATTCTTAGTCCTACTTTAATTTGGTTTTTACTTTTATAAAAGATATGTTAGTGTTATTTTCAATATACAGAAACATACAGAATTATACAGATAGAACTTGAAGTAAAATTAAAAAATCTTTGAATTTATAAATAAAATATTTTCATTCATATACTAATCAGATATGGGAATTTTGGCCATTTAGTTTTTTAATAAATACCTTCTCTTTTCTCTTCCTTGCAACCAAAATTAACAAGCCATCTCTCTTTTTGTACCAATTTTTTTTTTTCAATTCTTTACTATCGATCATGAAACTTCCAAATGAAATAATATTCAATATCTTGAGTTATTTGCCCCTTCGGCCATTCTACAAATTCAAATGTGTATGCAAGCTCTGAAATACTCTTTTTATGGACCCATCTTTCTTGTATCCTTTATAAAATACACACTATCTATGATGACGATTATAAGTATCTTGTTAGTCTCGATTTTGAATTTCAGGACAGAAGGGGCTTTAACTCATGAATTGGCTGTCGATAGAAATACTAGACAAACTCCACACACTTATCGCATTAAATCATGTCAATTGCGTGACGTCTTCCCAATCCCCAGTCCACAAAATCCTAATTTGTGTATTAAAATCGAGTTTGTTCCCCCGTCAGGGGACGATCATGGAGCTGTCAAGCTGGTTTCTATTCATGAAGATGAAAAAAAATGAACTCTGTTACGAAGTTTTAACTCTCAAAATTGGGCAACTAAATACAAATTGTTGCTGGCGATCCATTAATATACCATCATTATCATCGAAAGAGGAACAACATTCAACTCATCTTTAGAACGGGTTTTGCTTATTGCATTTGGTTTGTTGGTGATCTTGAGGTAGAAATCCATGTTCTGGATATGATTAATGAAAGCTACATTGGTCATACTACTTTCTCTAGAGAAAGTTTCTTCCCCAGCAATCCTTTGCATCTCTTGGATTGGAATAGACACCTCTCCTTCGCTCAACTGATAAAAAATGAGCTCCTATTCTTCAAGGAGGACCACAACAAGAAGTTAACGTTTCACGTTTGCGTTAACAAGTCCTTGCTCTTTCTATGGCACGACGACAAGCACTGGTTCAAGAAATGAAACACGAAGAAACTAAGGGGATTCAATGAACTAAAACACGATCGAAAATAGTTTGTTGTACATATTCTTCTAGTGTTATACTACTTTTTTTTTTTTAATATGAGCAACCAATGCCGTCTCAATAAGTTTGGGGGGTCTAAAGCCAAACTTTATAAAGAAGTCTTAATTTTTTTTTTAATTGACATATATAAATTGAATAATTATAACATACTCAGTGTAATCCTACAGATGAGGTTTGGAGAGGTAGGATATATGCAGACATAATGAAGTAAAAATACAAATAATGAAAATTTCAATGAAAAATCTATAATATAAAGTTAGAATAATAAAACTTGTTTCAAAAATCGAAATAGTGTTGCGCTGAATTTGATAAGT